TACATTTATTCAATGATATATTTTAATTATTCTAAAATACTTAATGTGTAACTATAATTATTCAACACTACTTAAATTATTACTAAAGACTACCTAACCAAATGAATCTAAACAAATATTTCATAAATACTGGATTGTGATTGATGTATTATTTTGAAATTGGTAAAACAAAATAACAACTATACAATTTTCAATAAGTAGAAAAAAGGCTTTATCTGTTTTTTCAGTGAATTTTAACGTAGTAAAAAATGTTTAAATGTGAACAGTGTTGATGATATGTGAAAGAGATTTTCTGAAATGAATTTTGTGTCCATATTTTTATGAATTTCCTCGTAATTTTTATTTTCCAAATTTCTAGATAAAAATTGTGAAATGGCGTTCATACATAAAAATGTGTGAAAATTATTTTTCAAATTGAGGTTTTTCTAAACGGCAGGAACTCGATTCTATTTTGTCTTCTAAATTAACTTGCATTAAAGTTTTCTTTTTATTCATTTATTTTTTATTTAGTCCTATAAGCGTACTTTGTAATCCTCAGAATTTTTCGTTAAACATTCAACAAACTAACTTTTTTATTAAAAAAAATTTTTTTTTTATGTGTTTTTCCCCTTTAATTTGCAAAAAAAAAGAAAAAAGAAATCAAACAGTATTCATTAAAAATATTTAAAAAATGCTAGATAAAATTATTTTAAAAAAAATTCTTTTAATTAAAAAATGAAGTTTCTTAATTAAAAATAGTATTTTTTAATTAAATAAATTTTAATGTTGATTACTTTATGATAAAATGCAATTCAACCCCAAACTCAGGCGAGAACACTGGCGTGTTTTTTCCACCAAACTTCAATAAATTCTGATTTTGATACCATCAGTTCTTATTAAAATTAGCTCATTTTAAAATATATATAATTTTTTTTTAATTTAGATAAAAATGGAAACGTTTCTGATATTGAAAACTATCTTAATGGTATTCATGAACCTTACATTTTTTCTTAAGACATCAAACACTTTTATCCTAATTTAAATGAGTGAGAAGCGTTTGACGACTTGACATGGAGATGATTATTTAAAAATCCATTAATGTATCTATTTCTTTCAAATATTAATAATATTGTAAAATTTTATTAATTATTTATCTTAGAATTCTCGTTAAAAAGTCACTGCAATATGTTAAATTCAGCTCTACTGCTCGAGCATTTGTAATAAATTAACGATAATGATTAAGATTCAATTTTATCTCATTAGAATAAAAGATTTGTGCTTTATGTTATGACACATTGTTATGCATTGTTTCATAACATCAGAAATAATGCATTGAGCGCAAGTTTAAAAAGTTCAATTCATACAGCTGTCATCAAAGCTAGTATCGAAGCACCAATATCTAAATGTTTGCGAATCGCTGATGGAAAATTTTTTGTAATTAATACCTCTCAATTCGCTTTAGATAATAGCTACAGAACTTTTTCAGTTAATTGATATTTCTTCACTATTTATCTTTTCCTAAGATGAAAAAATGTATGCCCTTTAAAAATTTAGTATTTTTAAGATGCTATCTCTTAATATGGCGCTTTAAAATCTTATTATTTTGAGCTTATCATTATTTCTTCTCATTTTTTTTCGAAAATTTCTTATTATGAATCACTTTAAAAATAATAATATGTTTATATGTGTTTTTTCTTAGCATTTATATAGTCTATTGAAAACATGATAAAACTAACGAATTTTGCGTATAACTTTCAATCGATTTGCGTTTAGATTTATTATCGACAAGTCTTACTTGCTTATTTTATTAAAAAATAATATTTTAAAATAATAATACGAATTTATTTGAGTAAATGTTTAAAAAAATTGGAAAATTTATAATTCTCAATTTTAAGCTTTTGCTGATGGTTTGAACAAGAAATAACAACACACTTCCAATAAATTGCAAACTATGCCAGATTCTAAATCTATTTTTAAAATTTATCCAATTATTCATGAATACATTCTCAAAACAACTGTTCAACGTTGAGCTATAATGTCGGTAATTTTAAACTTTTGATAATTTGCCAAAGTTCGGAATTCCCATTGCTATTTGAATTTTTGCCAGTTTTGATAATAGGCTGCAAAGTTTTTTATAACCTTAACAATTTGGAATTTGGTAAAATGGACCACGTTTCAGTTGAACTATAGTATCGTGTAATAAAATTTGAGAAATACGGTATACGGTACTATGGAGAAACTTAATACCATATTAAGGTTCCAGTAAATTTGAACGATACTATATATTACTAATTACTTCAAAATTTCCATCATTGCTGTCTTGATTTAAGAAACGTCAATTAATGCTCGTAACATTTTCAACATACCTAACGAGAAGCCCATCCATCAGCATCGGCTTTAAAGGTCCATAATCTTGAGATTTTTTAATGTATTTAGTGTTGCTTAGGATTGTCTGCAAAATAAAATATTCATTGTTAGCCAGCTGAAAATTTTAGAAATTTATGACACTGAGATTTTAATTAGCTTAGAATGACGGCATAAAATACAAAAATTTTTTAAATTTATAGCACTGATAAGCTTATATAGTATCAACTTCAAAGTGTTACTTGCTTGGACGTCTAAGATGTAGTTTTCTGTGTGCTATGAAAAGTTGTCAGATTTGATTTCCTGATTCAATTTTCTGGTATCACGTGTATTTTTTCAGCTGTGATGACCCAGGAGTTAAGACACTGAGCTGTCGTTGTGGGAGACTGGGGCTCAATCATCGGGGCAACTTAAAGCCATTAACCTCAAAACGATGGCTACCAGCTTGTGTGGGAAGTGATCGACATCAACATCAAAGTGCACATAAATTGAGCATTTATGATGTATTTATGATACGAACATGTCAAAATCGTAATATACGCTTTGATAGATTAATCTCTTTCCATGAAATTTTATATTATTCTGTACTTCTGCTTGATTTTGGTGCAAGAATTTAAAAAAAAAAAAACTGTGACGATAAGATAAAAAATATATTTAAATAACGTTGGACAATGTAGTGATGAGCCATACTTTTTTAAGGGGTGATGTTTTTACATACTGTTCCTTTGTATTCTTTACAGATAGGCATTTTGCAAGTTTCTGTAATATACACAAGTTTAAGTAAGCATTACAAAAAACTGAAACATCTTATTGAGTACATGGGAGTCGTTGTGCTTTTTCACCAAGGAACGCCCTCCTTTAACAATTTTAAAATGTGGCTTATCACTATATGTCCTTACATTTGTGTTAGAGGTTGCAACTTACCTCAATTGCGTCCGCCTTAAAGAGGAATACGTAGTTTCTTCCTCATATATTTAAATTGAATATTTTCTGGCGATCCAGCACTGAGCACATTCCATCCAGAGTATAGCGAATATCTAATTAGATAAAGAAGAATCAGTATTTGGTAGACATTAGAAATATTTTAACTGAGATTACATTGCGAAAGAAGAGAATTTTGTATTTTCACATTAATGAAGTGTGACTGATTTTACTATCTGATTTGAAAGTACGGATATTCATGATTACCGCATTCAATGTCGGAGAGCAAAAACATAATATTTCTTAATACTAATGGACCTACCTTCGAGAAACACAGATAACCAGTCTTTAAGCAACTATTCTTTACTTTACAGAACTTTTTTTAAGCTACTGGGGAAACGCAACGTAATTTGAAAATATCAAGCGACTTGGCTTGAGCCAGAGATGGTACCCTCAAAGCATCATGATCAGGGTATAGTTTGTCTAAGATAGGTACTCTGTCAGACATTCGTCTGGAGCTGCGGCGGTGACTATGGTAACGAGGTATGATAATTTCATGTAGGGTTGCGGGATCCCTCTTAAGGACTCGTTTCGGAGAGAGAAGAGACCCCCTTCATAGAAGCTACCATCCCTAAAATGCCCTCTTCTTGTTTCCATAGCACCAGACTGCCACAGACTTAGTGGCGATCAGAGTACCTATCTTAAACAAAGAGTAGCAGATCTTGTTTCGTTTGGTCTTGCTTCTTTTTTCTTGTATTAAAAGTTTGGGACTGCCTGCTGTTATGTTATTTTATATTTTATAACCGTCCGTGAACACCAGACCTAATTTTAGGGTTTATAGCTACTAATGTTCAATTCCGTAGCTTTGTAGTTTTGAACCCAATCCAGAAGACAAGGGAGATCCTGGATCAAGTATTGGGAGAAACTTGCCTTCTTGGAGGACTTTTTGATGGAATTAACCCGCATTTGTAGTACATGGGGAGGGAAACCGCAAAAATCCCCCACAGTTAACATGACGGCAAGGAGATTTAAACCCATGACTGGTCTATCACTGTGAGCTATGAGCGTAATAGTATAATCAATTGTGTGGCATGTTGTCTCCCTGAACAGAAAAAATAAATTCTTGTATTTGCAAAATTTACCAATTTGCGATTTCGTTATCGGTTTTCGATGGTGAAATTTATAACTTTGGTCTGCACTTCATTTAATTTCACCAAAGTTCATTAGTGAATTAAAAAAGAAATCGGGATTAAAATATACTTACAAGTAGCATCCATGGCAATTCCTTTTCTGCAGTGGCCATGAATGCCAGATGTCATTTGGTACCATAGAAAAGGCATTGATGATTTCCCAGGTCGATAATCTGGCTTGAATATTGTATGGAACCATATTGCAATGATTGCGATAGAAAAGATTGCAACGCAAGCAGTAGTGATAGAAATTTGGTACAACAAGTTTTCGACCTACCACAAATCAATGAAATTTGGAAGTAATTAAATAAATTATTTATGAAAATGCATTTTTTAATAATTTGATTTTTGGGAAAAGGAATAATTTTAGATTAAATTTTGAGCCGAAATACACTTAAAGTATAGATGGTATTTCATATGATTTTTTTTAAATATTTATTTATCTGCATGTTTAGTTAAAAAATGAATTAACAGTGACTTAACATTTTAAAGGTTATGATCATACAGTTGCATTATTATAAATAGTCAATGCACGTAGAGAATTCAAAGTTCGTTTATTTTTGAAACAGCGAGAGGTTTTTTAGAAACATTTGTAAAAAGAATTATATCGAAAGCACAAAAGATAACAAAATGTTTCGAAGGAAGGGGGGAGGATAATTTGTAATTTGATACCATAATCAAGTTTTTGCTATCACAGTTGAATTAAGTTTCTATTACAGCTCTAATTCAGAATATTAGAATGATTAAAAAATTAGACATTAAAAACTTTCTTATTTCATTTGTTTTTTTAATTACTTAAATTAAATCTACAAATTCAATGAGTCAAGTCAAAAAATGAAAAGAATAATAATTAATTATGCAATTTTTGTGAAAAAATCAAAGTATTAGAATAAATTTGAGTGTGATCCAAAATAATAGAGTATTTCATTATAAAGACTAAAATTCAAATTTCATTTTAAACGGTTTGCTATAAATCTAAAATTCATAAGAGCTACTCGTAAAACTATGAAAAACAAATATCATCGTGTTATATTCGAATAATTTAAGCCAATTAAATAAAATGTTCTAATATTTTAAGATTAAATAATATTTTTTTTAAAATCATTATCTTTTTTTTAAGAAAAAATGAGCAGGAACTACTCGTAAAACTACGAAAAACAAATATCATCGTGTTATATTATAATAATTTTGACCAATTAAATAAAGTGTTCTAATATTTTAAATAATACTTTTTTTAAACCATTATCTTTTTTTTTTAAAAAATGAGCAAGTTTGAAGCGTGCATCACACTATGATTGAAAATAAACTCCTAAAAAATATCGTTTGTATAAATGCATTATATAATACTTAAAAATTAAGTTTTTTTTACTTTCATCAGATGACTAAAATGCATCATTTTGAATTAGATTAGATCATTTTGAATTTGCATTTGATTCGCTATTGCATAGATTCATTGTTTGTTATTTTTGCTTATAATATGTAATAAGCAACTTGCTATTTATTCAATCATTACAAATGCCCAGAAGATAAGCTAAGACGTTATCAGTTCTGCGTTTTCATCTCCGAATTAATAAACTGGTTGAAAATTCAAGTCGTAGTTTTTTCTTGTCAGCTCAAATCAGTGCCCCCCCCCCAAGCTCTTGGGCGCATTCTCGGGCAAATTCTAAATCCCCCCCCCGAACTATTCGTTTTATTTAGTGTAAAATTTCCCCCCTCCCAAGCTTTAAGTGGGAGCATCGTGCGCCCACCTCCCCCCCCTGGTGGGGGCCCCTGGCTCAAATACTCTTTCCTTTGTCAGCATATCACAACACCCCTATCTATTAGGTGCTCAGGTAATATTTGAATTGGCACATATTTGTATTACATACTTTGCGTATATTTATCATTCATATTGAATAATAAATATTATTAATTTAGAACCTTCATGGTTTAATTCTTATTCTGAACTTAAAAAAAAGGGGGGGGGAGACTCAATTTCAATTTGTGATAACTTTAATGCACAACTATTAGTAATAAGTGTAAGTTGTAGTTCATATGTAAAGTTTAATACATTTATTCAATGATATATTTTACATGATTAGATATTTTCTATTTAAGAAAATAAATTAACTTTCTATGCATTCCCTGCAATCCATGACAAACAAATACTTCAGTAAAATAAGGAAAAAATGAATAACAAGTACACTCACCACCATATTAAAATAGATGCATTAAATTATAAAGTATTTATATAAAATGTTTACGTTTTAGAAATACTTTTGGCGCAATTGCAGTTTCCTCAATTATACGACACAGTTTCTTAAAAGTTTCAGAAATATTTTGTGAGTTCTAAATTCATCATTTATTAAGTAGCAGATTGTTATAAAAGTTGATGCGCTTCTACCGATATCAGAAGCTCTTTTGCAAATACTTATAAATCCTCTGTCACGAAATTCTAGGGAGAGTGTCGACAAAATTTAGTATTTTCTCACACCTGTACCGTGAATACAAAAACGTGCCTTAATATATTTTAATGTTTTATTTCTTAAGTTCTTAACTACCATAAAAGTGTAGCGAAACAGTGGGGAGGGGAAAAGACAAATATTTCCTTGAATAACTTTTGTTCCAATCATCGGATTTTCATGAAGTAATTGCCAATTTAAATAGTTTAAGGGAAGGACCTCAAACATGCCAATCATTAATTTACATAAGCAATAGTTTATATATATATATATATATATATATATATATATATATGTGTGTAT